CGCGCTCCGGGGTTGCCCGAGACGGCCCGAGATTACCAAGCGTCCGCACGAGCCATCCCAGGTAGCCCCAGAGTCGACCAAGAAAGCCGCAAGCTGATGCCAAGAGTGCCTCGCATTGGGCCTCTCGTTAGGGTTCTTTGTCTCCTCCGCCCGTTTTACTCTGTGCAACCATGCGCAATACGGGGGCCTCTTGGGCCGTCTCGGAGCGATCGTTTGGCCCCCATTCGATCGATAAGACGTCTCCAAGACGGTGCAGGGGAGTGGGGAGCAGACACAATCCGCTGGAGCAGGGAGACGGTGAACAATTTCTGGACGCTGCGCGTAACCCCTATCGGACGACTCGCCGTGTGCGCTCTCGCCCGCGGCCGCGACCAAACAAGTAACCCCTATCAGCCCACTCAAAAACGATGACCAGACGAGATGTCCTGATCAGGGATGTGGAGGATAAAAGGGCTGGGTAAGACGTCGCACCCCAAGAGGGGGATGATGGAGGAAGAATTGGAGGAGGAGCAGGAGGAGAAGGAGTAGAAAGAAGAGGGAGATGGGGTGAGGAAGGAGGAGGACTGAGGAGGAACAAGCGGATGAGGAACATGTAGAGGAGGAGGAGGAGGAGGAGGAGGAGGAGGAGGAGGAGGAGGAGGAGGGCGAGCAGAAAGGCCAGATGCCTCTTGGATGTCTCTTGGAGTCTTTTCTAACTTGTTTCGAGGGTTTCTTGGAGTCCTCTTGGAGTTCTCTTGGCAGTCCAGGGGGCCTCTTGAGGCGTCTTGGGTGCCTCTGTGGGGCCTCTTGGAGCCTCTTGGGGGTATCTTTGGAGCTTCTTAAGGGCATCTTAGGGGCATCGTGAGGGCCTCGTGGGGCCTCCTGGGCACCTCTTGGGGTCGTCTTGGGGCACCCCTGGGAGCTTCGGGGGTCATCTTGGGGCCATCTTTGAAGAACTCGATCGAAGACGTGGGACTCCTTACTTTGCTTCCCCCCCTTCAGGAGGCCAAGCTGTGGCCAACGTCTTATGTATGCTCAATGATTTTGGCCTTCTCGCCGAGGCCTATTGCCTCTTGGGTGGCTCTGGGGGGGGGCTCTTGGGGATCTATTGGGGGCCTCTTAAGGGTGCATCTTGGGGGCCTCTTGGGGGCCTCGTGGGGCTTCCTCTGCACCTCTTGAGGCCCTCTTGGGCACCCTCGGGAGCCTCGGGGGCCGTCTTGGGGCCATCTTGGAAGAGATTTATCGAAAGAGGGGGGGGCTCCGTACTTATGGTTCATCCCCCTTGGGACGGCAACAAATGGCCAATGTGTACGATCAATGAATTTGGCCTTCTCGTCGAAGTTTTTTGGGTGACCCTGGGGGGGGGCTCTTGGGGGTCTCGTGGGGCATCCTGGGCATCTCTTGGGGCCGTCTTGGGGCACCCTCGGGAGCCTCAGGGGCCAGTTTACAACACCATCTTGGAGGAGATCGATCGAAGGACGGGTCGTACTATATCAGCGCACCCAGGAAGCCAAATTGTGGCCACAGTTTTTTTACATGGCCATTTTGGACGGTCCAACCCCTCGCGAAACCTCCCCTCCAGACACACGGGAAGGGGTTATTGGGAGGGTTAAACTCCTCCCCGAAGGGGAGAACATGGAGTTTGGAAGAGGAAGCTCGCTAAATCACTCACGCCCAACAGGGTTGGTGGGACTCTGCCCCCCTTTGCACATTAGAGTTGGAAGAGGGGGAGGAAGACGTGGAGGGCGGCGAAACTAAGATGAGGGGGCGCAGGCTGAGGAAGACCTAGACGAGAAATACGAGGGCGAAGGCTCGGCCGAGGAGCAGGGCAATGAGGAGGAGGAGGAGGAGGAGCTGGGGCAAGAGGGGAATGCCGAGGAGGACGAGGGCCCCCTTGCCGGGCGCGTGAGGCCTTAGTCGATTGACGCTCACGCGTTCGAACCACGGGAAGACGGACCGAACGGAGTGTGTGTTTTTTGGGGGGGGGAGGGCCAAATCTTAGAACGACGTGGGGCAGGCCCACACCACAGGGTTCCCATTCTTGCCCCAGAGCGGTGCCAGTGGGCAAGAGGTCGCCGACCTTGGCACGGGCACCCGCGGGAGCTCCTGCACGGACCTCCCGCCCCTGCCTGGTCGCACCCGCCTGGTGCACAGAGGGGGGCCAGGTGCAACAGCCAACCTCTACAGGTCGACCATTGGGGTCAAGCCAACCTCCTCCTCCTCCTCCTCCTCCTCCTCCTCCTCCTCCTCCTCCTCTACAGGGGGAGGCAAGCCAAATCTTCATGCAGAGCAGGTGCCCGTTTGCCCCAGACTACTGTACAGGTGGAGCAAGCACCCGCTTACCCATCATAGCACGAGCGGCTGCGTCTACACGCAGGGCATTCGCCTCTTTACCCCAGTCCCCCCTGGTAAAACAACCAATCAACACATAGCAAGTTCAACTCATGCGCAAAGCGCCGGGGGTAAACGGGTGCAGCCTATGCCCGTTCACCCCCGGCGAGTACCTCGAGTGAAACCTGCTTGGGCAAGTACAGGCTCAATATGTTTACCTGGAAGCCGCGCCCTACTTGTTTACTCCTCACCACCCACCAAACCACCCCAACCCAACCCGAAGGCTCAGATTTATCCTCGATTTCCAGTGGGGGGGGGTCGGGGAACGTTGAAAAAACACATGGTATCCGTACCCCCCCAACCCGAAATTCGGGTCAAATTCGGGTCTTCGGGTTGGGTTGGGGTGGTCTGGTAGGTAGTCAACTCCAGGCGGTCATGGTGGCCGACTGCCTCGTGGTGCGCCCTGCCTGTTTATGTGGGCAGCCCCCCCTGGGCTGGTGTGCAACGGGCGCCGTACACCTTAGGCGATGCTTAAGAAAACTTAAGTTTTCGGCCAGAGTCTCGATTATTCTTAACGTTTCAATGTAAATCTTAAGATTTTGATAGAAATGTTTGTTTTTTATTCAAATTCTGAGACTAAGAATTTCTTAACCCATGATTTCTTAAGCATTTCGCAGGGTGTACATGCCCCCATGGAAGGCGGCCTGGGTGAACACGTGGTGAACGCCCCCTGTCTTGAAGCATCAGTGGTTGTCGCCTGGGAGGAGGAGGAGGATCGGGCCGGGCGAAAGGGGGGGATTGGGAAAGGGGGGGTTACGGAATTTGCTGCATGCAGCTGGTTTCGGCCTCACCGAGGGGCCCTTTCCTCGATACATGGCCGCCTCCGGCGCCGGGAGGCGCCGGGAAAATCAGCTACGCGAGCTGATTCTCAACCCCCACCTTTGCTATCCCCCCCTTTCGCCCGACCCGAGAGGAGGAGAGGGGGGGCGAGGAGGCGGAGAGGACGAGGCTGGGGAGGAGGAAACAACAAACGAACGTCGAATACGGAGAGGAGGCTCCAGGGCGGGAAAAGGGCGAGGATGCCGCCGATCCCATTGCGGTGAATGCCACGCGTGTTGGGTCGTGCACTGTGCGTGCCATGTGGGCCCCGTTTGCCCGCGTAGCTGGCGCGTGCTCGTTGTTTCCTGGTCTACCGCCCCCGCCCGCTGCTCCCTCCCTCTCATCCTTCCTTTCTCGCCGTTTTCTTCTGCCTCCTTCTCCTCTTCCTCCCCTCTTCCCCCCTACTGCTATTGTGGTTCGTCCCCACCCCGGGCCATGGCCGATGACAAGGTTCTTCGGGTTGCGGCGCAAATTGGGGCCAGGCAGTCCGCAGGATGCAACTCAGACCCCGTGCTAGATACGGACCGTTTCAGATAGACCACGCGGCGGGCCTTCGACGTATGATCTGTTACGAGTGCCATTCCAGAGGCATGTGTAACGATTGAGCTGTCAGCGCGGGTTGCGCTTGGAGTGCGTGGTTCGGCGGCGCCACGCCAATTAACAATGTCAAGTTGCGACGGACGCGTATTAATAATTTCCAGTGGTTTGCGCGGCAAGTCGTTTGGTTGGTGGCCAACGCCGTCGAAGTAAACACCCTCTGCTGGCCGACAAATTGGGTGTCATACCGCCGTGAAAAAGGTGCGGTCGTTGCCATCTTTTCATCTCCAGCGCCAAGAGGCAAAAACAATTGAGGTCCCATCGGTCCAGAACGGATGTCTGCACCGGCCTCGTTTTCCCAGGCGTCCGACCGCCGAAGACGTCTCACGGGGCCCCCGCGATTGCCCCAAGACGGCCCCCGAACGGCCCCAGACTGCCCAAAGGGCCCGCCAAGATGGCTGGAGACACCCCCCAGGCGGCGGGCCCAAAACGCCGAGAGATACACTTCAGCACCAAAACAGTGTTGACACTTGTCACTTGGGGGGTCCTGCTTGCGTTTTTTAGGCATTGGAGGAGTGCCCCGAAGATGCGCCACGTTTTGGTTGGTTGCCGCTCCGTTGCCGCCTGTGGGGGAGTCCCGTGGATTCGCTGCGTTCCGGCCCGTTGCCGCCCGTGCCGCACCTTGCCGCTTCCGGGGATGTCCCGAGGACTCGCCATTGGCCAGCCCGCTGCCAGCCGTTGCTGCTTGTGGAGGTTTGCCCACGACTCGCCACGTTGCGGCCCATGGCCGCCCATTGCGGGCCGTTGTGGCGGGGACGGGGGTGTCCCGAGGGTGCGCGTTTGCTATTCGGAGATCGGCAACAGAGACGCTTGTGCAACACACAGAGCCTACACATTCACAGTGCCATAACTTACTGTTTGGGGTCCGCGCTGACAAGCATGGATCCCCCATAGGTTTCCAACGGAGTCTTGCTCTCGATTTCCCAGGCGTCCGACCGCCCAAGACGGCCTAAGAATCTAAGAGCCTCCCAAGATCGCCCCAATGAGCCCTCCGAGGCCCGAGGCCCTCCTTGGCCCGAGCAGACGGGAGGATCGCGCCGCGTTGCCGATGCATCGGCGATGCGGCGCGGTCCGAAACCCGATGTTCTCCGTCCCGACGTCGCCGACGCATCGCCGATACGTCGGAATTGCGGCGCGGTCCAGAGCCCGATCTCTTCTCCAGTTTTGACCTCGCCGACGCATCGGCGCTCGGCCGCCGCGGCCGCTCCGTGGAGGCTGGACCCCTTCCCCGGGCACGACTCGCCCGACGCCGCCCGGCTCATCTTCGGGCTCGTGGACCCCGCTTCGCCGGTGCTCCAGGGCCTGAGGTGCAGGCCCTCGCCCTCCCCGGAGAGGGGCGGAGGCGCGAGGCTCGAGGCTCGGTCCTCTGCATGCCTCATCAGCAGCATCAGCAGCATCAGCAGCACCAGCAGCACCAGCAGCACCATCAGCAGCATCAGCAGCATCCTCAGCATCATCAGCATCCGCATCCGCATCCGCATCCGCATCAGCATCAGTACTACCATCAGCAGCATCATCCTCCTCATGATCATCAGTCTTAGTCAATCATCATCACCGTCCTCATCATCCTCATCAGCATCATCATCATCACCGCCATCTTCACCACCATAATCATCATCCCCATCATCGTCATCATCATCATCAGCATCATCCTCATCGTCATCCGTAGCCATTTTGACTCAGGTGATCTCTTCTCCAGATCTCTCGCAGGCGCCCACGCTCTGCGGTCAGCGGCGCGCGATTGGGAGATGAGCAATGGCTACGGGGGGCTGCCCGCAGGAGCGTAGGCGGGGCGGCCCATCAGGCGCGTCAGCAGTGCTCTGCGCAAGAAGGAGGAGGCCGAGGTGGGCTCCTCGGCGGCCCGCCGTCGGGCGCGGGCACGGCGCCCCCTCGCGGCCGAGTCAGCAGTCAGCAAGGCGGACAGAGGCGGCCCAGGTTCCTGGCAAGACCGTGAGGCTGCTTGCGCGCCCTGCCTTGCGCCTCGCCGCCGCGGGAGGTCGCGTCCTTGGCGCAATGAGGCGGCGGCGGAACGCCGCATGGCACGCGCTGCTGGTCCCTGCGGGCGGATTTGCGCGCGCGTCCGCAGTGGGCGTAGCGCGGGCCGCCGCAGGTCCCCTCTTGGGCTGGCCGCCCCCGCTCCCAGAGGCGGCCGCGGTGTCCTTCGGCGACTCCGAAGCGGCACCCGAAGAGCACTGCCAGGTCCTCGGTGCCGAGGACGAGGACCTCTGCGAGGGCAGGCTGGAGGACCTGAAGTGTATGCTCGTGTGCAAGTTCGGCCTAGACTTGGACGAGGACGAGGGCCGCTGCGAGGATATGCTGGGCGACATGAAGGGCCTGCACTAGCGCGGTCGTTCTGGACCTGGACGAGGACGAGAGCCTCAAGGCTCTGCTCTGCGAGGGCGGCTCGAGGACCTCGAGGCCAGGTTCAAGCGCAAGCCCGGCCGGCACCTCGACGAGGACGAGGCCATCTGCGAGGACAGTCTGGACGACATGAAGGGCCCGCACAAGCGCGAGTTTGGTCTGGACCCGGACGAGGGCGAGAGACTGTTCGAGGACAGACTGGAGGACCCGAAGGGCGTGTGCAGAGGCAAGTTCGGCCTGGACCTGGACGAGGGCGAAGGCCTCCACGAGGGCAGGCTAGACGACCTGAGAGGTTTGCGCAGGTGCAAGTTCGGTCTGCACCAGGACGAGGACGAGAACCTCAGCGAGGACAGGCTGGAAGGTTTGAAGGGCCTGCACAAGCGCACGTTCAGCCTGGACCAGGCCCGGGACGAGAGCCTCTGCGAGGGCAGGCTGGAGGGCCCGAAGGGCCCGTGAAAGCGCGAGTTCGGCTTGGACCTCGGCGAGGACGAGGGCCTTCTCGAGGGCAGGCTGGAGGATGCGAAGGGCTTGCAAAAGCGCAAGTTCGGTCTGGACCTGGACGAGGACGAGAACCTCTGCGATGACGAGCTGGCTGGGACCAGAAAGGCGCGCACAAGTGCCGGCCTCGACCTGGTCGGGGACGAGAGCCTCTGCGAGGGCGGCTCGAGGACCTCGAGGCCAGATTCAAGCGCAAGCCCGGCCGGCACCTCGACGAGGACGAGGCCATCTGCGAGGACAGTCTGGACGACATGAGGGGTGAAGGGCCCGCACAAGCGCGAGTTTGGTCTGGACCCGGACGAGGGCGAGAGACTGTTCGAGGACAGGCTGGAGGACTTGAAGGGCGTGCGCAAGCGCAAGTTCGGCCTGGATCTGGACGAGGGTGAGGGCCTCTGCGAGGGCTGGCTGCAGGACCCGAAGGGCCCGTGCATGCGAGGGTTCGGCCTGCACCTGGGTGCGGGCGCGGGCCTTTGCGAGGACAGGCTGGACGACCTCCAAGGGCCTGCGCACGCGCGAGCTCGGTCTGGACCTGGTCGAGGACGAGAGCCTCTGCGAGGACAGGCTGGAGGACCTGAAGGGGATGTGCAAGCGCTAGTTCGGCCTGGATCTGGACGAGGAAGGGCCTCTGCGAAGGCGCGCGGGAGGACCCGATGCGCCCGTGCAAGCGCGAGGTCGGTCTGGACCTGGACGAGGACGAGAGCCTCTCCGAGGACAGACTGGCCCTCTGCGAGGGCACGCGGGAGGACCCGAAGGGCCCGTACAAGCGCGACTTCGACCTGGACTTGGGCGAGGGTTTCCTGTCTGCGGACGAGCTCTTGGCGGCGGGGGCCGCCTTCAGGATCGGCCTCGCAGCGGCCAGCATCTTCCTGGGCGCCCCACTCGGGGCCCCTCAGGCCTTGCACGATCAAGAGCGCGCCTGATGTCTCTGCGCCGCTTGCTGCGTACCAGCCCGCGGGCGTCGTGGGTTGAGTCGCCGCGACTGCTCGGACGTCGCATCTCGCTTGCTTCGGCTGGGGCGGGGGGCGGCCTTTCGGCACCCAGGCGAATCTGCGAGGGTGCCTTGGGCACGAGACTGAGCGCTGCCTCCGCAGGGCCAAAGGAAAACGGCTCGGTCCGAGGGGCAGTCCGAACGGGGAGCTCCTGTCCGAACGGGAAGCTCCTGTCCCCTTCAGCCGCGTGGATCCTCACCATCCCCCTCATCAGCATCACTATCACAATCAGCCCCACCACCACCATCATCATCATCATCACCATCATCATCATCATCATCATCATCCTCGTAATCATCTTGCCCTTTCATCCTCACGACGGTGCGTCCTTCACGATTGACCCCCCGAGGGGATGGCTCGAGAGTGGTACTTTGTCAGGCTTCCCCGTCAGTTCCTCAATGGCTTGTTGCTTCGGGACGCGCTGCGCCAGTTGCGTTTCGCCGATGGTGTTCCCAGGGTGCCCGAACTGTCCCGGGCGGCCCCCTGAGGCTCTGGCTATGACCCGACAACGAGACAGAAGGGAAGTACACCCGTCGGTTACACGTGAGAGTGCGCGCGGGTTACGGGAGGCGCGGGGGCCACGTCAGCACCCGCCATTGGGATGGTCGCTGCGTGCGTCCTGAGTGGGGAGCAGTGCTGATGGGGCCACGGGTCCCCGCGCTTGCTCCCCTGATTCCCATCGTTCTCACTATGACCAGCACTGCAAACTTGATCAGCATGTCTCGTCACGCGGCACCCCCTGTCGTTCGACGGGCGCATTGAACCGCCAGTGTATATACGCAGCTGGTTTCCGCTCTCGAGTGCGCGCGCCGCACACCGATGTTTGCGTTCCCCTTAGCAGTGCAAGCGTTACGAGATCGGCATCACACGTGACGCGGAACACGCGGGGGGAGACAAACGGGGGTGGGGGGAACAGGGGAAACGTGGCGAGGGATGGGCTCGATGAGGGACTGGGGTGGAGGCGGGGGAAACGGCATCTAAGGGCGCCCAGAAGGATGTGGGAGGGAAGAACGGGGCATTCGGAAATAACGAAAACGATCGCCATGATGACATGGAGGACGAACCGGAGGATGAGGACTCGGATAACGCACGGGAGGAAAAACATTGGTGTTCATAATCCTTGTCATTATTTACACTGTGTTTGTTTGCGCCCCCGCACGTTTTGCCCCACAGTACGTTGCGCGTCAAAGCATTGCACAGCATCGCTTTTGCCCAGTAGCCCTTGACAGCGTCACCACGCGGATCCAAATGTGGCGCGTTTGAGGCTTGCACGTTCGATGCGTAAGGCTTGCACTTGTTGGAGCGATCGATCACAGTTCCACCCACAAACCAAACACCCACCACGAACAACACAGGCCGTATCAACACCAGCAACTCATACAGATCTTTCAATCGCTTGGTATCGATCCGGGGGGGTGCGAGGCAACGTGCGGACAACATGAACGATTATTGTGGCGGTCGATTTGTCTGTATGGAACACGCACTTGACGAAGATTGCCACTTCGATTGTCGCTCCCTTCTCTGCCAATGCATTATTTCTCTTCCGCCCATCGTCAAATTCCCCCCTCTTCCACGCCCTGATATGATGTATTAATATTCCTGCGTGTTTCCTGCCCCTTTCCGATGTGTTCCATGTTGTCGTGTTTGTATCCGTTTCTGTTTCTGCATATTTTCCTGGTCCTCCCGCGCCCTCCATATCATGGTTCGTGCTTCCTCCGCCCCCTTCCCTCCCCATTCCCCGCCCCCCCCCCCTTTGCTCCCCCCTTTGCCCCCCCCTCCCCCCTTTGCCCGCTCCCACTCATCCCTTCTTTTCCCCAACCATCCTGTGGTGTTGGGTCCTCGTTTTGAAGAGGCAGCGCCCCGCGTCTCCTCCTCCCCGCTCCTCTTTCCTCCTCCCCCTCCCACCTTTGCCTCTGCCTTCTGCGTGTCCACCATGTCAGCGCACCCAGTACAGCGCTTCGTGGAGCTCCACCGAAGGCCCAAATGCAAGCGTTCGTATCTGCTCACCGCGCCTATTTTGGTACACCCCTCACACGTTTCGTGGCCCCATAGGGAGCTCCACCGACGACCCCAGTGGAGGCGTTCGCATGCGCCCACCGCGCCCACTTTGGCACACCCCTCACACATTTCGTGGCCCCATAGGAAGCTCCACCGACGGCCAGTGGCTGTGTTCGCATGCGCCCACCGCAGCGATTTTGGCATACCCTCACAAGCGTCGCGGCCCCATAGGGAGCTCCACCGACGGCCCCAGTGGTTGCGATCGCATGCGCCCGCCGCACCCATTTTGACACATCCCTCACACGCGTCGTGGCCCCATATGGGAGCTCCACTGACTGCCCCAGCGGTTGCGCTTGCAGCGCCCGTCACATCCACTTTGGCACACCCTCACACAGATCGTGGCCCTATAGGAAGCTCCACCGACGGCCCCAGCGGTTGTGTTCGCCTGCACCCATCGCACCCACGTTGGCACACCCCTCATATGTTCCGTGAAACCCCATGGGGCGATCCAGTGATGGCCCCAGCGGCTGCGTTCGCACGCGCCCACCGCATTTTTGTGGCACAACCCTCGCACGCTTCATGGCCCCAATGGGGAGCTCCACTGTCGGCCCCGGTGGCTGCGTTCGCCTGCGCCCCCCGCGCCATCGTTTGCACAGCCCTCGCACGGCTCGTGATCCTGCAGCGAGTTTCTCCGAATGTGGTGCATACAGCGACGGCAGTTACAATTGCATATGGTTGGGCCCTTCGCCAGGCTATGTGTTCAACGACTGGCCAGACTATAGCGAAATCTTTTGACCGAGCGGTTCACGTCCGGGTATCTATGCGTATGTATATATAGACTTGTGTGTGTGTTGTGCCGTTTTTGCAAACGGGGTTTTCGCGGACGGATGCTGGTCAGCGGAACCAGCGCTCGAGCGACGACGACCTTTGCAAACAGGAAGTCGTACGCCGTGGCCCTGTTGAGAATGTCTTGTGTGTTTACGCGCTTGGCGTTGACAATGCCGTCTGGGGGTCGAATGTTTGGGTTGTTGGCACCGAGTGCCCTTGCCTTTCACTCCTCTTTTTCAGCATGCGCATTCGTCGCATGTTGAACATTGACGGTGGCCACAAGCATGCCATGAACATAGCGCGTCATTGAATCAGCTGGTAAATATCGGGTCCGCGTTGTTTGTGTATGTGGCCCGTGTACACACATATACACATATATATATATATACACATACACGCACACACAGACATATTCCTCTTCCTATCTTTTTACAAGCCCGGGGGGGGGGAAAAACCATCCCCCCCTCAAAACTGGACCCCCGGGATCTGGGGTTCTCAGGCTCCCTTGGACGTCCTTGGAAAAGGTCACCCGGCTTTCCTGGTCTCCACAAACGCCTTGCCAGCAGACCCAGAGCGATCCGAGGGGTCATCAGAACGGCTCAAGGGAGGCCCCAGACAGCACAAGAGCGCTTCAAGAGGGACTCCAATTGCGTCAGGACGGCCCAAACGACCCCCAAGGCACCCCAAAAAGCTTTCCAAGGGGCCTTTAAAGCACAAGAATCGTCCCATTCCCTTGTAAAACTTTCAATTTTAGCAGATTCGCCTTTCGGATTTCATCAGCTTTCAAGACGGTTACAAAGCCCCCGAGATCGCCTCCATACTCCCCAAAAGGCCCCCAAGAAAGCTTCAAGACGGCCGAGCCGGGCCCCACGATCGCCCACGAGAGCCCCAAGACAGCCCATAATGGAACCAAGAGGCCCCCCAAGGGCTCCCAGCACAGATCCAAAAGGGCCATGGGAGTCCCTGGAAGTGCCCAAGATGGGTCCAAAGGGGGCTCCAGCGGGCCCAAGCCCCCCAAGGCGGCCCAAGAAGGCCCCAGGACGGCCCATGAAGGCGCCAAAACGGCCCACGAGGGCCCCGAAAACACCACCACGATGCTTCCGAATGCCAACATAAAGACCCCCAAGGCACCCCAAAAAGCTTTCCAAGGGGCCTTCAAAACACAATCATCGCCCCATTCCCTGCGTAAAACTTACAATTTTAGCATATTCGCCTTTCGGATTTCATCAGCTTTCACGACGGTTTCAAAGCCCCTGAGATCGCCTCCAGACGCCCCAAAAAGCCTCCAAGAAAGCTTCAAGACGGCCGAGCCGGGCCCCACGATCGCCCACGAGAGCCCCAAGACAGCCCATAGTGGAACCAAGAGGCCCCCCAAGGGCTCCCAGCACAGACCCAAAAGGGCCATGGGAGGTCCCCGGAAGTGCCCAAGATGGGTCCAAAGGGGGCTCCAGCGGGCCCAAGCCCCCAACGGCCCAAGAAGGCCCCAGGACGGCCCATGAAGGCGCCAAAACGGCCCACGAGGGCCCCGAAAACACCCCCACGATGTTTCCCAATGCCAACATAAAGACCCCCAAGGCACCCCAAAAAGCTTTCCAAGGGGCCTTCAAAACACAAACATCGCCCCATTCCCTGCGTAAAACTTACAATTTTAGCATATTCGCCTTTCGGATTTCATCAGCTTTCACGACGGTTTCAAAGCCCCTGAGATCGCCTCCAGACGCCCCAAAAAGCCTCCAAGAAAGCTTCAAGACGGCCGAGCCGGGCCCCACGATCGCCCACGAGAGCCCCAAGACAGCCCATAGTGGAACCAAGAGGCCCCCCAAGGGCTCCCAGCACAGACCCAAAAGGGCCATGGGAGGTCCCCAGAAGTGCCCAAGATGGGTCCAAAGGGGGCTCCAGCGGGCCCAAGCCCCCCAAGACGGCCCAAGAATGTCCCAGGACGGCCCATGAAGGCGCCAAAACGGCCCACGAGGGCCCCGACCCCCCCCCACCCACGATGTTTCGGAATGCCAACATAAAGACCCCCAAGGCACCCCAAAAAGCTTTCCAAGAGGCCTTCAAGCCACAAACATCGTCCCATTCCCTGCGTAAAACTTACAATTTTAGCAAATGTACATATGTACGCTGTATAGACACATACAACAATGTCAGTATATTGTGTACACCTAGACATGTATACGGAACGTGCATGCACGTGCGCGTGTATACATGCATTCGCGCGTGTACGCACGCACGCATTCCGCTTCCGTGCAGACCTCAAAAGACCAAGTCGCATGGCGCGCAGCGCCAATGCAGTCTTTTATATATGTATATATATATATATATAAAAATGTATATATATATGTGTGTATACGTACATTGTATATATGTATGTATATATATATATACATATATGTGGTCTTCGCCCCAACCCGCCACCGTGCCTGTATAAATCCTATTGGATGTTCGTCGGGATCTCGTGGGAGGCCTCTCGGTGACCTTGTGATCCGGTTGGAGGCATCTTGGGCGCCGTTTTGGGGCCTCCGTGGGGCATCTTAAGGCAGAAAGCTAGGATTTTCGGTTCGTGTTTCCTCTGTTGTGCCTTTTCTGGGGCCGACTTGAGGCCCTCTTGGGCCGTCTTGGGCGGCTCTTGGGCCATCTTGGGGCGCTCTTATTTTGGGTTGGTCTTGGGTCTTGGGGTCCTCTTGGGCCGTCTTGGAATGTCGGAAAGCTGAACAGGCGAGAAGGCTAAAATCCTTCCGACACCTACGAAAAATCAATGATTATTGCCGCTTGTGGCTCTCTTGGGAGGCCTCTTGGGGCGTCTTGGACACATCTTTGGCCGTCTTGGGCCCATCTTGAGCGTCTTGGAGCAATCATTGGGCGTCTCGGGGCCCTCTTGGACCGTCTTGGCGGCCTCTTCTTGGGCCCCAAAAGTCACGCGGTGAGACGCGCCGGAGCCGAGAGGGCACGCGACAAGCCCTGGGTCGATTTCGGAATTCGGGATCCGGGCCCCCTAAAGATTCCTTAGGACTGAAGATTGAGGCTGCAGGGATTAGGCAAAGGACCTGAGGACACCTACTCGGTGCCCAGAGGCACGGTGGCGGATAAGATGGTTCATTCCTAAAAACAATGGCTACTTTTCAGGAAAGTTTGTACGTTTACAGTTTCAATGTGTTTGTTCCTCAAGTTGTTCCGACATGTTTCTTTGCCTCCAGACGGTTCGATCGGTTTCAGTGGTTCTTGAATCCGGATACGCTTGGGAAGAAACACAAACTACATTGACATACATATTCTGAGGTCCGCGCAGATTTCTCGAGTCGGCGTTGGACCCCCCTGGCGGCGCCAGCCCCTGGCACGGCCAGGTAGGGGTGTACATGGCCGACCCAAGAAATCAGCGCGGACCTTCGACAGTTGATGGTTGTGCAGATGTTCCGTTATTCCCTTGCCGCCTCCCTTGATGCCCGATCGAGGCCCGACAGGGTGCCGTTCCACGCCTTCGAGGCGGAATTGCGGGATTGCGGATTGCAGGCCCCCCCCCCCCACGTCGGCGGCCTCGCCCGTCGGGTTCACCCCCCCACACGGAGGAGCAGCGGCAGCAGGAAGAGAACGAGCACGACGACGATTATCGATGACGGCGACGACGACGACGACGATGACGGCGACGAGGTGCATTTTTGAACCTCGTTTGGTGCTCTCGTGACCACGGCCGGATTCGCCTCGAAGTTCTGGTCTCAGCGGCAGCAGAAAGACGACGAAGAGCACGATGATCTTCGGATTCAAGCGGCGTCGCAACAGAAATAGTGATCTTGCTGGTTGTTCTACATGTTCCGCCTTCAGGCGCCTTTTCCTGGCCCCCAGGGCCCTCAAACACAACGCAGGATGACACATTTGCCCTGGAGTCGATTCGAGGGTCCCGGGGTTCTTGGGGGCACGCGTCGCGAACAAAATCGCGGGGCATGGCTTCCAGCCTGCTTGTCACCCTCCCTCCGACCCTGATCTCCTTTACCTCCTTGCCCTCCTCCTACCTCCAACTTCTTGTCCGCGAGGTTGACGAGATCATCTCGGACTTCCGCTTCGTCGACCGCGACCAGGACGGCGGGCGGCATGTGAGCGCCCCCTTGGGCGCCGCGGCAAGAAAGCGGCGCCAGCTGGGAGCGTGCGCTGTAGAACGGACGCGCGCGTATTTCTGCCACCAGCGATGTGTTGCATGATCGAGTCTTCAGCGATAGGAATGCGATAGAAGCTAAATTACATTCAAGAGTATGCCGAATGCGCTCAAGCTGGAGTCGCGGAATCCCGGGGGTCCGGGCAGACAGAGTCAGAGGGTGAAAAACCTTTTTCTTTGCCAAGTCGATCAGTGAATTGCATTTTCTTGTTCTCTATCGAAAATGTGTTGCGGCCGCAATTCGTGCGGGCTTGCATCCGTTGGGTCTGGTTCGTTTTCGCGACAGGTTGTTTTGCTAGTGCGTCCGTGTGTGTGTGTGTGTCAGAGTGTGAACCCGCCCTGGTCAGTTCGTCCTCCCTTTCTCCCCGCCATCCACGCCTGGATGGCACATGGCTCTGCTTCACTCTGAGTCCGCCGCGAGCGGAACCCGGCCGCTGTACCTTCTTTCTCCGCCAGAAAGGAAGTGCGTTTGTTTGTTGCAAGTCAGCGGTCGGCCACGTCCGACCCTGCCAGGAGTTCTGCTGTTTGCATGTGCCCACACAGTCACAAAAGTGGGTAGTTCTTTCAACGACCCTGGTAGGCTTAATTCCCGCTGACTGTGTAACATCAGCGCGTCGAAAGGGAAAGTAAAGTGCCAGTGCACTCGCTGTGGCTTCTAATTCTTGATGTACGGATCCACAACTACGAAAAAATGCCGCTGCGTAGCGAGGCCAGCATGCAATCAATCTGCCGCCATGTGTCACGCAGCGGCGCGTCACGTCGGAGAGAAACAGTATGTGCGTGTGTGCGTGTGCGTGCGTGTGCCACGGCTGCGTCTGGGCCGCGTTCGGCATACGTCCGAACGTCATTCAACTCCCGAATCCCGCTGGTATTCAACCGCAGGGGCGTGCCTCGGCCCTGCTTGGTCAATGTTTTGGCTTTCGTGCGCACGCACGCACGCGCACGCACGCGCACTGACAGACGACAGTGTGCGATCGTACCCTCGAGGACGGGATGCTATCCGCCGCGGACATGCGTTCGCTCAAGAGCTACGGGAGCCCCGCCGCCGCCCCGGAGGCGGGCGCTCCGCGGCCCGGCCCGGACCGGGGCCGCTTGTTGGCCAGCGCCGGAGCAGCCAGCAGGAGCAGCAGGGACGGGTAGAACGACGCGAAGATCGGGACAAAATCGGATCGGGATAACTCGGAATCTCTGAGAATCGGCGGGTTTGGAGGATGTATTGGGCGCCGCGGCCGCTCCAGAGCGTTCCGGAACGCTCTGAGAGCGCTCCGGAACGCTCTGGAGCGATTTATCCCGATCCTAGCCCTGTTTTAACGGGAGCGGCAGCCAACGGGCAGCGGCAGGGAGAGCAGCAGGCAGCCAGCGGGAGCAGCGGGCAGAGGCCAGCAGCTGCCAGGAGCAGGCAGCATCTGAGGGCGCGGGGCAGCCCAGGGCATGCCGCAGGAGCCAGGGATCGCCCCGCGGGAGCAAGGGCGGCGGCGGCAGGGGCCAGAAGAGGCAGCCCGCGGGCACGGGCATCGGCAGGAGCACATCTCGGGGCGCCGCAGTTGCGGCCAGATCGGGCGACGTCGGCTGACCGCCTCACTCGGCGGCGAGCGAGGGGGGGAATTGAGAAGGAGAAGGCCTTCTCAGAAGGCGGCGGGACTTCTCAGAAGCCCTCGCGCCTTCTGAGAAGTTTGTTCTGTTTTCGGGGAAGGCTTAGAAAACTTCTCAGAAGTCCGGGGGACTTCCGAGCCTTCTGAGAAGGTACGCCCCTTCTCACTTCCCCCCCTGGCTCGCCGCCTACTCACCGGTCCTGGCCGGGCCGATCTTGGGCCCAGGGTGGACCTGGCCAGGACCAGTTAGGCGGTCAGTTGACGTCGGGTCGCGGGGTGGGTCGCGGGTCACAGTGGGCTCGCGGGGCGACTCGCGGGGAGGGCCGCGGGAGGTCGACAGCACAGACATGGAGCGACGATTCGCACCGCCAAGCACCTAGGGGGAAGAGTAAGACACTCAGCTCCCCAGACGTCGATGGCAATGTGTGGAAATAGCACCAAGTGCAATGCAATGGGATGCTAGCAGGACCGCGATAAAGAGGAGCAGAGGGAGCCATAATGGGATGAGGTCGATCATTAGCATTGAGATGAGGATAACGAAGAGGATGGCAAGGAGGGATACATTGCGGATGTCGAGGAGGATGAGGAGGTGGATGAGAGGGATCAGCAGGAGAACATGTAGGTGAGGATGCGGTAAATGAGGAGGATGAAGAAGAGGAGGAGGAGTTTCAAGATTGGCACGGGTCGGATCATGAACAAACGCTGGCAGCACAGCAGGGCGACGAGCTACGGCCAGCCAATATGGACATGGGAAGCATATGGGTTCCAATACGTTGCAGAAGCGCATTCTTGATCATATTCTGGTGACGCATGACTGGAAGCATGATTCGGAGAGGGCGGCAGCGAAGCAGACGGAGAGCGGCGGAGGCGCACACATCGACGTGCACGTGCGACTCCTAGCTCCGAGAAGCGCGGTCTTTTCCATCCTGCTGTCCAATGTTCAATCTCATACAGTTTTTTGCGACGCCGCTCCTGGAACGGCCGACCCGGTCCTCACCCATTTTTCAACTAACCCGTTCTGTTGATTGACCCGTGGTTTCGATCGTGCGAGAAGTGCCCGTGGAGAATTCAAATGGAGGGCCATCGCGCCGCAATCGCGGGTACACTGGCGGCGGGCCCGCAATGGCGAAACCGCATGCTCATGGCACCAAGGCCCCGATCGGCGATGCCTAGGCGACGAGGGCTCGAAGTCTCACCTCCCCGCAGGGGCGAGAAGATGACCGCGCCTGGCGCTCCGCGGCCTGGTCCGCGTAGAGGCTGCTCTTCTCCAGGGCGGCCGCCAGAGTGCGCGAAGGCAGCCGCGCCTCGGGCAGCGCGAGGCGCGAGCTTATATGGCTCCAGACAACGCGGCGCGAGGCCTGCGCTGGCCTCTGGGGACATCAGAACAGTCAGCAGGGCTCGGAGCCCGCGATTGCCCAGGTTGGCGGCGACGATGTCGGCGATGTCGGCGACGTTGGCGACGACGACGACGACGACGACGACGACGGCGACGACGACGACGGCGACGACGACGACGCCCGCTCCCGATCAGATGCTCTATGAGCTCGGGGAGGCCCTGCTGCAGCGTTTCGACGGCTTGCCCGGCGCCTTCGCCGCGCTCAGCGCGGCCGCGCCAGAGGCGCGGTGGGGGGTGGGGGCCCGCCTCGCCTCGGCGGATGCCGCCGCAGCTCCCCGTGGAAGATGAGGAGTCAGCGGCTGGCTCCTCACCTTCCATGGGGGAGCTGCGGACCTCCAAACGTGTTGCTTACGCTGACTGCCAGCGTAAGCAAAACGTTTGGAGGACCGCGCGGATTCCTTACATCGGCGAGGTATCCTGCAGGGGCGCGAAAATAAGTTCGCTTCGCGCGTGGCGGCCCATGCTGGAGGGCTGCCCTTCTCCAAAGTGATCTCGCAAGGGCGCGGAGATCACTGCGCATCGCAAGGCGCGACGCGCGAAGTTAGGTGACCTAGATGGCCAGATCTGCGTTGGACCCCCTGGTGGAGCCTCCGACACCGACCTTGGCGCGCTCCCGCGCGCCAGGAAGGCGGTTTCAAAGGGGGTTCGGGCAAAGGGGGTCGGCCGACCCTGTGCGTTAAACCCCTTGCTCAGCACTCGGAGAATGAGTTAAACGCAGGGGCTCGGCCTGGCCCCCCCTACCTAACCCCTTTTGGAACCCTCCAGGCCATGAAGGGGGATTCACGACATCCGTGCGAACCTCTGCAAGTTTGTGTTCATGCCGATTGATCGTTGTCTGCCTAGCGGCAAGCCTGCGTCGCCTCGGCGCGGCTGCGACGCCCTGGCGTGAAGCGGTTTTGTTTGTTGCCTGCTTGGGGAGCTCCGAGTGGGGGGGGACCTTCGTGGCCACGATCAGCGCCACGGGAACGGGTGCCCAGGAGCGGGTGCACTTCGAGGAACAACAGAAGGGCATATGCGGAAAGTTGCTGATGTCGGCGCGGATTTCTTGGATCGGCGCTGGGTCCTTCCTGGCGGCGCCTCAGGCGCCGCCCCTGGGGCGCTCCGCGCGCCGGGGGAGGGGGCTTCAGCGCCGACCCGAGACATGCGCGCGGACCTTCGACAGTTTTGGTGTATGCCTCTGTTCGTTCTTCTAGCTTGGGCAGCGCGCGGGGAGTTGGCAGGAAGGCGTCTGGAGGGCGCCATATTCGCACGCGGTGGCGCAGGAAAGCGGCATGGGAGCGCCGCCTTGCTGCATCGGCCAAACTCATTGCTACTGAGTGCCCACCGGGGCGGCTGCACGCAGCTCGAAACACTAATCGAAATGGTGTGCAGTGGCAGGGTTTTCAATAGCCTCTGGCACAATCTTTGAAGTCTCCCGGCGGACGCCGCCTCTGCGAAGCAGCGGGTCGCCGCGTCATAACGATGGGGTGTGGCACGATGCTCCACCAGCGCGGGGCCGTACGTCCAGCCGAGGACGTCCGAATTAGGAGAAGGAACAGGAGCCCTTCGACCTGACCACGTGCACGGACGCGGAACTGTGCCAGGTGCACGGACGCGGAGCCAGCACGCGCAGAGTGTGCCAGGTGCGCAAGCGCACGTGACAGTACACATCGGGTAACATGTTGGTTCCCACCACCATTGTCGAGAACCAATGCGCAATTGCGGCGGGGTGGCCATAATGGTTTGGTGGACTTGCGCACAGCAGGCAATATGCCAGCACCCCCTTCGTCGCTCTCACAAAAAAAAAACAAGTCAAAGTGGACGAGGGGTGCCTGCGCATGATCCAGATGTTGCCGCGAAGTGCACTTTGTATTGTTTTTGCCAGGGATGGTGGCCCTGCGCGCCGCAGGCACTATGCAGACACCCCCGCCGTTCCTATCAAACAGTCCATGCAAAGGGTTGGCGGGCCCCTCGAGCATTACCCAACACTTTGCATTACTGTAGATGGTGGCCCTGCGCACAGCAGGCAATATGCTAGCATCCCCACCGTCCCTGTCAAACTTACCCTGCTACGTACCCAACCCATCGGCACCAAGGGATGATAGACGGTGTGCCGACAATCGCGTGGCGGCAACAGGTCAACAGACGGCGCACGGCGGATATCTACATCGTGCGACGTGTGCGTGGCCGATTCGCAGAACAGAGGTACAATACGCCAGGAAGCATTATGTTGGGAAGGAAAAGCAACAGGAGGACATCGGGATGGAATAGCAAACACGTCGGCAGAAGCAGCGAGATGATAGAGCATGCGCAAGACAAGGTTACATAGGCTAAAACGCAACCAGGCAATGACGTGTCGCGTTTTTTTATATGCCGAAACGCTCAACACTTGCGCGTCCCCCCCCAGCAGCATACAAACGTGTCTACGTAAAGCGTCGCATTCCGCAGCCCCACCCCAGGAATGGCGAGGTCCCCTGGCCCTCCGCAGCAGCCCTCGGAAGTGGCTGCAATTTCATAATTCGCAGTACCCCCCTCAGGATGGCGAGGTCCTGGTTGGATCTGCGTCGGACCCCAGTGTGTTGGCTCCTTCAGCGGCTCTCGAAAGTGGCGACGGTTTCACACTTCTCAGCCCCCCATGGGGGGGGTCCCGTTTGGAGTTTCGTGTGACCCCATTGTGTTGCCCCGCCCAGCATCTTTTGAAAGTGGCGACAATATCACATTTCGCAGCCCCAATATTATGGCGAATGGCGAGGTCCCGTTTGGATCTGCGTGGCACCCGACTGATTGCCCCCCCCCAGCAGCGTTCAAACGTAACGTCAGTTTCACACTTCGTAGCCCCAGCCCAAGGATGGCGAGGTCCCGTTTGGATCTGCGTGGGGCCCCATTGTGTTGCCCCCCCCAAGCAGCCCTCAAACGTGGCGACGGTTTCGCATTTCGCAGCCCCCCGGGGGGGTCGAGGTCCCGTTGGGATTTGCGTGGGACCCCACCGTGCTGGCTCCCCCAGCAGCCCTCGATAGTGGCGACAGTTTCACACATCGCAGCCCACCCTCAGGGATTTCGAGGTCCCGTTTGGATCCGCAAGGGGCCCCGGGTGCGGCGGGCTTCCCCGGCAACCCTCGAAACTGGCGACGGCTTCGAATTTCGCAGCTCCCCAGGGATGGCGAGGTCCTTTTTGGATTTGCGTGGGACACCACTGTGCTGCCCCCCCCTCCTTCCCCGAGCAACCTTCGAAGGTATCGACGGTCTCGCATTTCGCAGCCCCCCAGGGATGGTGAGGTGTTTTGTGGATCTGCGTCGGACACCAGTGTGTTGCCCCCCCAGCAGCCTTCAAAAGTGGCGACAGCTCTTCATTTCGCAGCCCCCAAAGGTAAACATTACGGCAAGGCAGGGGACAGGCCAGCCAGGCAGGGCAGCGAGGCAGGAGGCATGCAAGCAGGCAGGCGACGGCAGGCGAGAGGGGGACAGAGGGCGGAAAGAGGAGAACGGAGGATTGGAGACCCCGCTGCTCTATTCAAAACGAGAACCCAACTAAGGGAGGGTTGGGAACTTAAGGCAATGCAAAGTGTTCGCGCCCCCCAACCCCCCAAGAAGATTACCCAAGAAGTTGTCCCAAAGTGTATGTTGCATTGCTTGAAGTGGGTTTCCCTGAACAGGGAACCGTGATGATACCCCTCCCCGAAGTGGAAGAAGGGGGATTGGAAGAGGAAGCGCCTGACCGACCTACGCTCGAAAGGGCTGGTGGGATGTGTCAGTGCCGAGTGCCAGTCCCCCCGTCAGGCGTAGACCCATGCCACAAAGCGGTGGAGGAGACCGGACGAGACGAGACGCGCGTGTCCGCCGGCAGGCGGGCCCGTTAGGGGCGGCGCGGACGGGCCGGGGCCTGGTCGGATGTGCGTGAGCGCAAGGTAATCTTTATCGCAGTGGTTCCACAATGTCGGGTCTCAGGCAACATCCAACCACGTCATGGTATTATCCTTTGTGATAAGTCGGACAAGTTGTGAAATGCCGTCGCTCCACTTCTTTCGCTGCCCTCCGTGTCTGCGCATCGCTGGTCTGGCGTCGTGGACAATGGGCTCCCACGCTGCAGCAAGCGGTGGAGGAGGAAGAGGCGGAGGGGAAGCCGTCTGCAGCGCGCCAGCTCTCGACTCGCACGCGTGCACGCAACGACCAGCTTGCTTCAGATGGTGAAACATAGCCCCAGGCTACCTCGTCCACCACCCTGCCCCTTGGCAGCCTCAATGCCGGACGAACTCTGACAGAAGCTCGGTGGCGCCCTGGTCCGTATTGTCGGCAGGCGCTCGGTCTTGTCACCGTCTGCATCGATTTGCGTGCTTGTGGTTCCACGAGCCACGCTCGAATTTCGTCGTTGAGATTGTTTTTGTCAACTTCTCCAAAACTTGCCCCAGCGATTCCCGTGATTTTTCCGATCGCCATCCTGCATCCGTGTGGCCCACGAGGCGAATAATTGCCACTTGGGACCACAGCCTCCAGCTGCGGCTGGACCTGGCTCAGCGGTGGGGTCTCGGCGTGGGCCAGCCGCCTGGTCCCGAGGTCGCGCCCGGCGGCTCGCGAGCTGGCGGCCCAGATCGTGTCGGCGGCCTTGAGCCTGGCCTTCGGCTTGCCCTCCAGCGCCGGCCACAGTCTTGACGAGCTGCTTCGGGAGGCTTGAGACGGGGGTCAATACAGACGGGGGTCAGCCAGGGCGCCAGATCCTGCAGGATCCTGCGAAGACCCCCTCTGGCTGACCCGGGTTAGGGAGCCGCTCGTGGCCGCGAGGCGGCCGCGCGTATTGGCTGACCTGGGTCTGCGAAGACCTGCGGTGCAGTTTTTTTTTCCTGCATTGCAGTTTTTGGTTTCTTGCTGACCCGGGTCTGGATTGACCCGGGTCAGAAGATCCCCGACTGCTCCACGAGCTGCCCCTCGCGCGCCTCCAGCGTCGCACCGCTCAGGCCCTCCGGCTCCGTCGGGCCTCCGGCGCCCGCGCCACCGCTGCCGTGCGAGATTGCCACCGCCGACGCTGCTGTTGCGTCCCTGCCGGCTTCGAAAGGGGGCGCCAGCTGTCACCACCCACCAAACCACCCCAACCCAACCCGAAGGTTCAGATTTACCCTCGATTTCTAGTGGGGGGGGGGTCGGGAAACCTCGAGAAAACACGCGTGGAACCCTT